TCTCAGACCATACCAGTAAATTACAGTTTGAGAAATTTCTAAATCAAACCAAACCGTTTTATTAGAGTTTGGTACAGTTTCTAATACGGTTTGAAGACTTTGGACCATTCTATGGTTCTTTTGGGCTTAACCCAATTAGAAAGCCCAAATAGCTCTCCTAAAACTTAACACTTTTATTTATTATTTTATTATAAAATAAAGAATTCACTATATATTTATAATTTTACGTATTCCATTTAAATATATTATATATAATGTTTATATATCATATATTATAATAATTTATATATAAAATTTCAGTTTACGATTTGGTTCAGTTTATAAAATTCAATAAACCAAACTGAAACCACAAACCATAATTTAAAAAATCCTCAAATCGAACCAAACTGTTTATAGGTATAAACCGAACCAAACCGCAAATTTAATTTGGTTCGATTTGATTTTGCGATTTGAATCGTATAATGAACACTCCTATGGACAATATAACAACAATATCCAACTAATATCACGTATTATTTTAGTCAAGTCGGTCGGTATTTGAGCAAATGGGTAGGACCCATCTTCCACAAATAGATAGGATAGGAAATTTCTTGCTAGCTCTAATGCATTAATGGATAGGCCCCACGTTGGAAATATGACATAATCAGACCACTTTAAAAATAAATAGGTGGATATGGATGATTGATATCATCATATCACAACATGAATTTTGATTAGGGTTAATCGAACTGGTTCTTCGGTTTTTTTGCAATATTTCGAATTAATTCAGTTTTTTTTTTACTAGTTCGATTCTTTGATTTTTTATATTTATAATACATATTATAAATAAAGTTAACCGTAGGTTTTTTCTCTAGGTTAACAAAAACCAAATTAGTCTTTTGTTTTTTTTTTTTGCAATATTTTAAACCAAAACTCAATCGGATTCCTTGGATTTTTCGGTTTTTGATGAACACCCTAGTTTTAATATAAGTGATCTCCATGTGGGATCTATTCATGTTACATAAATCCCCATGTCCAGATATTGAGGGCTAAAAGGTGCAAAATCAAATTAAATTTTGGTTCAGGTCTAACCTTTTTGTGACATTTCTGTTTGGGGGTTGCTTGAGTGGTGAAGCAAACTCTTCACATGTAGTTGCAGCCACAAATTTGTTATCAGTAATTTTTAAGTAAGTATCTTCTTATTCTATTCAGTTCATGGGCAAAAAGAAGCTATCCACATACTTCACAACTCATTTATTATATGCGCTTTATTAAGTGAAAGATAAAAACTACAAATAGATATGGTTTTGAGTTTTGACTTCAAACCCAGAGTCCTTTTTCTTGCATCCTAAGCTTTGATTCATATTAAACTTCAATTACCCTCCTCTGTGCTCAAGTCTCGACATTCTGCAAAAGGAAAAGAAAAGGAACCTTCCTTCCCCACCTTCCAACAAAGCTCTAACGTGGAACTCTCCCTTTTACAAAATCTGGGCTGCTTGTTGGAACTCCTTGGGTTGTTATATAGATAAATGATTGATGCTTTTGGTTCTCCTAAGATGTAGTCTCTCTCTCTCTCATTGTTATAGAATTATTTTGATTAGGTAAAATTTTTAGGTATGATATGATCCAATTTTGTTGACTGTTAAACCCTATTCATTGATGTGGGTATTGCACATGGTGATTTGGTGGAGAATATTCTTGGAAAAAGTAGGGCACCATCATGTGCCAATGAAAGTGCCTTCTGATAAAAATAATGTGCCAAACAAAGTGGGCAAATAACTAATGTGCCTTGTTTTATATGGGCAAGGATTATCATGATAAGTTAGTTCATGCTGCCTATTGATGTTAAGTCATCATCCATGTGATGCCTCCACTTCATGCATGTGATGATGCATCCCTGGTCCCTCATTCAAATCCTCCCCTTCTCAACAATCACCATCTATTGCTTTACTTACAGGGGCATATCCAGGTCCATACACATGGATGTCTATTTTGTGTATGTATGCACCCATCTACATGTCTACATACATGCATACATGCCTGAAAACAAATTTCCCAATCATAGAGCACCAATGTTTATGCTCCTAATAAATTTGATGAAATTATTTCCCTTTCAGACAATTTGGAAGAAACTTCAACAATACAACAATCATATACTCAGTTTCCTTTTCAAGAAAACATTACAAGATGAAAACTGATAAGGCTACATAGATTATTTTCTGAGAAAACTCATTTACCTTAACTTTGGGGAAGGGTAAAATTACTCTTTTTCCCCGTTTCTTCCAATTAGTTTTTGGTTTGGTGTGGCTGTTTGGGCAAGTTTAGAAATCCTTTTCAACTTCATCATATAGCCTCTCAAGCAAATCCCCAACAAAAATGTTCCTTCTTATTAAATCAATAAAAACTAAATTAAACAATTTACTGTCTAACCTTATTTCTACAGTTGACAGCCAATCAAACATTCCACTTCAGCCTAAAAAAATATTAGTAAGTTTAGAAATGTAATCAATTGCAGAAGGATCAGCAATGCATTCAAGTCTTCTAGCTAGCTATTAAATAATTGGCATAAATAAAATATTAGCAATGCCGAGTTACTAATTACCATAGATTACAAGTAGTAAGCAATTATTTTTGTTTGATTTTTAGATTAATAAAATATGCCAAAAATTTTGACAAAATGAACAATTAGTTAAGGAAAGAGGAAAGAAGAGATGACCCACATAGCATTATGGGTGGGCTGGTCAGAGGCAGGCAGTGTTTGACAAGGCCTAAGTGTTGTGGGCATCCATGTGCCTCACGAATCTCCTACACCATTCTAATTCCCTGTGACACAGCCTAGAGGGTGGAAAGGGCAACAACAATGGAATAGAGATCAACTATTAGAAACTTCTCATGGAATTTCCAACTTGACCCAAATACCCTCATTTTCTTATCCTTTCCCAACATTTCTTTACCAATCTTAATTACAAGTTAAACAATGCTCCCTTTTCCTTCAAAATATTTATTAGTTTGTTTGTTATCTTGTCACTACAGTTAGAGTCCCAAATAAGAGCTGTTTGAAGGTGATTTGATGGGATTTTCCCTAATTAATAGTGAAAATAGATCCTGAATATCATTCTATACGAATTTAGTCATGGGTATCTTTTTTTTTTTTCATTGGGGTTTTGGCCTTTTTATCAAAATAGGAATGTGCTTGGATCAGCACTCAATGAGTTACACTATTCCAGTTTTGGTTGCAACTAAAATGATGAAAGGAAACAGAATTTTCCTCATAAAACAATACTCAATAAGGAATAAATTATTTCCCGAACTTCTTTTGGTTTTCTGTTAGACTTGGAAAGGAGAACCATTTTCCTACAATATCTACTAATTTTTAGGAAAACTTCTGTTTTCCATCTCCATCTGCAATCAAATATCAGAAAATATCATTTTCTAAAATAATTGTTCATATCAAGAGGACCACATCCTGGTGCAACACTTGGTGGGTTTCACCAACTTAGCCATTCCATATTAAGAGTTTGTGGTAATATATAATGTTTTATAACTTAATTCTTCAGTACTCTAACACACACACACACAAAAAAAAAGAACCAAATTCCAACCATCTTGACAAGTTCTTAAGCAAAGAATCCACAAGAGCTACTGCATACTGTTCTTGTGCAGGTTATTACTTATCAAATGAATCCAAACACATTCTACTTTCTGCTTCCTGCTTCCTGAGGAGCCAATAGCCAGGTACACTCCCTATGATGAACAAGAACACCCCAAATAATGTGAGCACTCTGTGTTGGGTGTGTATAGACACACTTATGTGTAATCTTGCTATTTAAGGGAATTTTAGAAAAAGTATAAATTGCTTCATCCACAACATTATCTGTGACAACTAGACACAAATACTCTCCTGCGTGAAATTTTCTGATTCTCTGAGGAACCATGGTCCTGCACTCTGAAAATTTTGCTTATTTTGTACACATATGGAAACTTCGCAGCTCAGAAAAGCAGGTTGTTTGAAGGGTGCATTGCACTCAGTTTCACTCTGTCATCTTACTTCAGAGCTCTTCCAGGTATCAGTGAGTTGGAGTTGGACCACATTTGCTCAAGTACCATCAAGAGGATGGATGAACAGCTGCAACCAGAGAATAAAAATTCTGAAAGTACACTACAAGTTCTCAAGCTCTGTCATTTTTTGTTTTCTGCATTAACAGGGGATGTTATTGCATTATACACTTAATTCCCCACAAAAAGAAAAAAAAAATCAAGATAAAACAAAAGCAGTGCAGTTAAGAAGAACTCTTTATACTCCCAAGAAACAAATTTCAGCTAGCCCACCAAACAGTGCCAACTCCAATTACACGTCAAGTTAGGAATTAGGGCAAGAGACTAAGGAATTGACTTTCTGGCAAGCCAGAAACATGATTTTAATAGAATGAGGTCTGAGGGCCCCACACCAAAAAAACACAGCAAATGGGTCACACCATAGAGCTAGAGATTTTTTAGGCAGAATATCAAGATAATAAATTGATAATCACCATGAATCTTTGCTGTCAAGATCATGCAATCCTTTATCCTCCAATTTATTACCTAAGATTGTATTACAACAAATCAATATCATTCATTCATTTGCCCCTTTCTTTGGATCAAGTGAAAGGAAGTATCAGATAAGATCAAATTCAAGGTTCAGACAAAAATAGAAAATAGAAGAACAATAAAACATATACAGCAGTACATTACACTACAATACAAAAATTTGGGCATGCATTCTTGCTTGTTTCTGGGTTTGTGGTCAAACTTGAGATTCTACTGAAGGGTCTTTTGGTAATTACAAGCAGAGATCGTTGAAAAAGGGATGTAGACTTTTGCAGGTTTTCCACTTTTCAGAACAAAAATCCACGCTAGTCCCTCTAGTTTCTGACAGAACTCACATGCCCATGTAGACAGATCCACTGATTCAGACCCACCCACATTATCTACTCACATGGAAGTGTGAGAAAGAGACCAAACCGGATCTGGCCCACTCACACAACTTCGCCTTCAAGTTCCCAACTCATCAAGCAATTCCCCTCTCTCTCTCTGTGTGTGTCTGTCTGCTTGGAGTATCAGATAAGAAGTCATAATAAAAATTGAAGCTTTGCCAACTCTCACTCTCGTCAGATTCACTCGCACATTACCCAATATCCATATAACGAATCATCCCATCTTCTTCCACTGCCTGTCTTTAAGAGAGCCAGAAGACAGCCACAACATTTTTTTAACTTTTCGCTGAGGAAACCCAGAAAACATCTCTTCTTGGGTTCAGAGAGTTTTCTCTGCACCTTGCATTGATACATAGACAGTGGCGGGAGGGATAAATGTAGCCTGTAGCCTGTAGGTGTTGGGTCCTTCCACGTTTTCTCCTTTTCTTCTGGGTTCTTGTGTGTTGCCACACAAGGCATTGTCTGGCATCTTCTATGAAACCCAAGAAGGTTTCTTTCTTTTCCATTGTACCAGTGGAATGATATTTGACAATGGAGAAGTGATTTTGGGTATTGGGTCCCTTTATTCTTTTGTTTTTTCCTCCATTCTATCTGGTACTCGTTATTGTCTTGGGGTAGTCCTATAAACTCCGACGGACCTTATAAATAAAGTACGTAATAGAAGGAAAACACTGTTTTTTTTTTTGTAGTTTAATTGCAGAGTTCGGGTGGGAATTTGAAGAATCCAAAATTTTAATTTTTCTTAGCTGTATTTAGCTGTAGAAAAGAGTGGAATTTGAGGCCTGTAGCCGTAAGAAAAACATCTGGAATGGTGAAGAATCATGTTTTGGTGCGTCTGGAGGAATTAATTTCATTTTAACCAGTTTCATGACAGGTGGAGCGTGTTCTGGCAGATTCAGTATTTGTCATTTGCTTGATCGTAGGAGGAGCCTTGCATTTATGAGGCTTTTTACTGTCTAATAAAAAGCTAGTTTTTGCCATCTTTTGCAAACTTCCGTAGGAAGGAGGGAAAGAAAGAAAGAACAGGAATTAACAGATTAATGCTTATTGAGATTTGGGTTCCAGGGCTATAAGAATCAGTGAGGTCTACGAAACTTTGCTCCCTCTAATGCGTTTGGAGGGAATCTCTTTTGTTTCCAAGTGATTCTGCATAAAAACTCCATTCTTCTCTTGTTCCAAGAATTTTTGAGCCAAAACAGCAACTTCAAGTTTCAACTTTGAAAAGGGCCTTGGGTTTTGCTTTTCTTGGAAGCGGAGTCTGAAAGTAACTGGCCTAGAAAGAGGGTGTCATGGAGATTTAGAAGGTCTGAACTGCTTTATAGTTGAAGAAAGGAGGTTGTGAAGATGTCTGCCAAGTTTTTACATGAGTTAGCAGATGACAATTCAAATCTGAAGAAGCAAATAGGATGCATGACTGGGATCTTTCAACTCTTTGACCGTCACAACATCCTAACAGGCAGGCGCCTCACTGGCCACAGCCACAAGAGGCTTCCATCAGGTAGCCCTTTTACTGTTTTTCTTCTTTAGTGATTTATATGAGTTATTTCATCTCTGCTGCTCAATCTTTTTAAGTTTAATGGAATATAGTTTATCATGCCTTTCATGATTTAATGATAGCTTTAAGTTTTTTTTCCCAAAAAGTTTCTGTTAATATCTGAGAAATACCCTGATTGTGTTTATTTTTCCAGCATTTCTAACTTGTTCAACTCTTTTTATTTTTAGCCCCATCCAACCCAAAACACACATACAAAAGGAAAAAAAAACAGAATTTTTAAAACCGCCATTAATTTGATTTTAACTATTCTTGCTTAAATGGGTTAATGGTAACAAAATATCCACAATCCGCCTACTTTAATGTTCAAAGCAGTTTCTATTAGTTGCTGAATTTCTTAACATACAGAGAGCACTTGTACCTATTCTTAAAGGCTTTTCTAAATTAGATTCATCTGTGCATAGAGAATGCTTTTCCATAAAGTATGTCAAGTGTCCTTGCTCATGACTGACATACTATTGGTATCCCTACTTTCTGAGTTTAATGCTTTGGTTCTTGCATAGGTATTTCTCACATCAAAAATGGAAGCTTTCGGGTTGAGCCTAATAATGATTATCTACAGACACATACTGTAAGAACTCTAAATTCCATTGCTTCACCATATTTAGTTTTTCATATCTGATATTTCTTTTAGAAGATATAAAGGTATATTTGACTTGCAATTGCAGGAAAAAGATTCCAACAAAAATACGAATGAGAACCAAAGAGTTTCTATTGAGTCATCCAGGGCTTCCTTTTCATCTTCTTCTTGCTCTTCTTCTCTGTCTTCTATGGACTGTAACAGAGCTGCTCAACTAGAACACCCTTCATTTGACCGATCCATTTTTCCAGAAACGCCTCAGAGGGAGCCAACTTCCATTGAACCCAATGCTTCCCCACAGCTGCGTAGTCAACCTATTGACTTCCGTGATGTTGTTAAGGACTCGATCTACAGAGAACCCCGTAGTCTATCAGTTAAAACTACAACCGAAGAGGGTACAGTAAGCCGTACTGTGAAGCACAGAGATTCACCAAGGCCTCTGCAGTTGACTGGGTCTTATGGGGTTGGAACAAATGGGAATCAGAAGGTGCCTGTTGATTTCAATGAATCGGTCAGAGTTCTTGTTAAACTTCGAGAAGCTCCTAGGTATTTTAATGAAGTTAAAGAATCACCAAGATCATCATATGAAGCTAAAGAAGGGCCTTTGTTTTTAGCATCCAAAGATTCTCCACGGTTCTCTTATGATGGACGGGAGATACCTCGTGCATCTTTTGAATCACGTGACACCTTCAAATCCAGTGCAAAGCTCAGAGATCTCCCAAGGCTGTCATTGGACAGCAGGGAAGGTTCCATGAGGAGCTCTAATTCCAATTCAAAATCAAATTCTATTCTGAAGGATTTGCAGAGGGGTAGTAGTGACTCTAACAGTAGAGCCACAAATTCACAGAAAGAACTGGGAACTTGCAAAAGACCTCCTAGTGTTGTGGCAAAATTGATGGGCTTGGAAGCATTGCCAAATTCTACCCCGGCCACAGATGATCAAATGACCTTGATTAAAACCTGCTATGTTGAAGATCGTGAGTCCTTCACTGGGTCATTGAGAACAGTTGATGAAAGCAAGCCGTTTCGATTTTCTGGTTCCCCCAGAAGCTCCCTCAAGGACCCCAACTCACCAAAGTTGAAAAGTCCTGATTTGGTCATGAAACCCTTTTCTAGTTCAAGGTTTCCAATTGAGCCAGCTCCGTGGAGACAGCCTGATGGGTGCAGTAGTCTTCAGAAAGCTGCACTCAGGAATTGGGAAGTCCCTGCCAGGACATCGAACTCCTCTCCTTCTGTTTATGTTGAGATTGAGAAAAGGTTGAAAGAGCTCAAATTTAAACAATCAGATAAGGATCTCAGGGCACTCAAACAGATACTAGAAGCAATGCAGGCTAAAGGGCTCCTGGAGGCCGAAAAAGAAGAACATCAAGCTACCAAACTTGTGTCTAAGAGAGAATATAACAACCAAAACCTCACCAATTTCAATGAGAATCTCAGATTGGCAAACAGGAGAGAGCCACAGGTTAACCACTCTACTTATGTTACAATCAAGGGAACTAGTCCTTCACGGAATTTTGAATCCCCAATTGTGATCATGAAACCGGCAAGACTGATCAACAAATCTGGTATTCCTGCTTCATCAGTTATTCCAATTGATGGTTTATCAGGTATTCACAGGAGTAGTGATTCTTTGGATAAAAAAAGAGGCACTCTTAACAGCAGAGTGGCTAAGGACCTACCCCCTAAACAGAATCTTAGAGACCCCACCAGTCGAACTCTCAGTCCAATAGATAAGAGAACTAATGGCAGGAACCTAAGATCAACACAGATATCAACAAATCCTCAGCAGCGTTTCAGGGAAAACAATGATATCTCTGGAAAGAACTCGGGATCTGTTAGCCCAAGACTGCAGCAGAAGAGGTTTGAGTTGGAGAAGCAATCTCCCCGCCCCCCCATGCCATCTTCAGATGCAACCAGACCCAGAAGACGACCTGTCAGACAGCCAACAGAATCAGGTTCACCTGGTGGAAAGCTCAGACAAGGGCCTTCCAACTTGCAGCAAAGCGATGATCAGTTGAGTGACATTAGTAGTGAAACCAGACATTTTAGTCATCAAAGGGATGAAATTTCCCAACAATCAGATGGCAATGTTAGCTTGTCCTCACAGATGGATATAGAAGTGACTAGTGCTGACCGATCTGCTGATATCAATTGTAATTTCCTTGGACAAGGTAGCCAGAGTCCATCAAGGAATGTTGCCAACAACTCAGTTTCTAGCTTAAAACAGAAGGTAAGTGCGCTTAATTTCATCCAGTTGGTTCAATTTACTAGTGCGTTTCATAACATGTTTAATGTTCTCTCCTTCAGAAATCATCAGGGAGGCTAAGTGAAGATGGGCCATTAGCAGAGCTTGCGACAGTGGCCCCAGAACAACCAAGTCCTGTCTCTGTTCTTGATGCCTCATTCTACAGAGATGATTTGCCATCTCCAGTGAAGAAGATATCAACTTCCTTTACAGGTAAGGATTGCCATCTTCTATGTAGTATAAGTCATGAATCAGCATTGGAGTATATATTGGAAAAAAAACCTCAACACACTGATTTTTATATTGCAATACATTGCTCTACAAGACAATTCCAAGCATGGTAGCTCAGAAATCAGAATGTATCTTTTTACTTGCATATATACCAATAAAAAATGCATGCAAATAGACAGTCTATTCTTTTCTCTGCCCCCAGGCCGTGGAAACTGTGGGCTTAAAAATAAGATAATTCCAATTTTCTTTTGAAACTTAAGAAATAAATACCTCTAGTACTTGGAAAAAAAAAAGATGGTGCCACTTCTTGAAAGTTGAAACCTAAGAAATAAATACCTCTAGCACTTGGAATCCTTGATTACCATAGTTTTGACGAAGATATATTCTCAATTATAACTGAGCCAAAGGTTGTTTATTTAGCTAAACCTGGATTGAGAGGAATTTTGTGTAGTGCAAATAGTTTTACCCGATTGCTGAAAAGGGCCTTTTTTAGCTGCATAGCCCTATTTTCTTGTACATCCCAGTCCTTTTCTTGAATAAAATAATTACCATTTCTCAAAAAAAAAAATAAAAGAGATATATTTGCATGTCCTGGTTGATGCGCTTTTCATTTGACCATTTTTACGTATATGTTACGCATTTGATGTAAATGTAACCAGAGGTGGAATGTTCTGTCTTCCCTAAATGGAGAAAACACCGACTGGATAGACTTGCATTTCACATGGGTAACTGTTAGAAAACAATCTCTGCCATGCTCCAACCTGATTTTTGTTTCAGTGTTTGATTTCCCATATGAAAATAGATTTGGCATACATGGGTGGGCCATCAAACTTGTTATCACAGAAGATCCATACTTGCTACCAGAAAGGGATGAGTATCAGTGTTGAGCCCAGATACAGTGTCCAAAATGGTTCTGGGAAACACTTAAAGGTGGCACTTTGAGCATATCTGACAGCTAGACTTTTATTTTAAATTTACTTTTCAACCATACTATAGTAGTCATTACATGTAGGCATCATCATATTATCATCAAGACAACATTTTTTGATATTTTGTTTGTAATAATATTTGTAACCATTAACAGCAACCAAGAAAAAATTATTTATGGAAAAAAATGCTTCTGAACAACATTCCAGAATTCTTCGAAATATAGAGGACTAGAATGCACGGCAAAAAGCTAAATTTTTATCATGAAATATACAGCATTTCTGACATATCAAATACTCATGGATTTTATCTTGGATACAGATGATGAGACAAAGCATTCTGAAGACAATCCCGGCGAAGGGGAATGGGATCCAGTTCAACTTGATCTCTCATCTGACAATTTGGTCCATAATCCTAGCTCTGAGATCAACCGTAAGAAATTGAAAAATATTGAGCACCTTGTTCAGAAACTTGCACAACTGAACTCCAATCACAATGAGGCTACTACAGATTACATTGCATCACTGTGTGAGAACGCAAATCCAGATCACAGATACATCTCTGAGATATTGTTAACATCCGGTCTTCTACTAAGAGATCTTACCTCAGGCTTGACAACTTTTCAGCTCCACCCATCAGGCCATCCAATCAATCCTGACTTGTTCTTCGTCCTAGAGCAAACTAAGGGAACCAATGAGCACAACCTGGAAAAGGTTGGAAGATGCAAACCCAGTAGGGAGAAGCTCCATCGGAAGCTCATGTTTGACACCGTGAATGAGATTCTTGTGAAGAAGTTGCCTCCCTCTGAGCCGTGGCTCCGAGATAATAAAGTGGGTCGGAGGACCCAGAATGCACAGCAGCTTCTAAGAGAGCTGTGTTCTGAGGTAGAACAGTTCCAAGCTAACAACTTGGTCTGCAAGTATGACGACAATGATGATAATCTTAAAAGCATATTGTGGGAGGATGTGATGCATCGATCAGATAACTGGTCAGATCTTCGTAGTGAAGTTGCGGGCGTGGTCTTGGATGTTGAACGCTTGTTATTTAAGGATTTGGTTGACGAAGTAGTGGGTGGAGAGGCAGCCAGTCTCAGAGCAAAGATCAGTAGGAGATGCAGGTAACTGTTTGTAAAATAGATCTTTTTTTTGTTTTTTTTTTTGGGTTTCTTGTTTTCATTTCCCTTTTTTTTTTTTTTGTGGGGGGGGGGGGGGTAAAAGCATAATAATCCATCCATGGATGAAACCTGCAGTTCTTTTGCTAGCTTGTAAAGAAAGAGAAATCTTTTCAGCATTTATGACATAATTAATTAATGATCAATAGTTGAATACACAAAGATCCATGTTGTCCATTCTTTTTCCTGTATCATCTTCCAGTCTCGTTCAATTAATCTTAAAACCTTGTTCTTCTTTGTCTTGCTTCGTTGTTCAATCTCTCTCTCTGGTTAACAAGTTAATACTACTGGAAATAGGTTGATATACACGTACTGATTTTGGTGTTCTTCCCAACTTAACCATATTTCGACTTTAAACCGCGTCAAGTAATTGCACTTCCTTCCCTGCGTCAGAAAAGAATGAATTCACGGACACCGTACAGCAGATACAGATTATTTAAGCATGTCTATATTTAGCACCGACCATCATCCACCAGTTTAGGACATATTCTCTCGAACATCACCCGTGAATAATAAAGTATGGAAGATGTTCCGGGATGTGACTGTTAGGTCTGTGTAAGGAGCAGATCCCGTCTCCATTTTCTATATTTATTTGGTTCAGTAAGATCAAAATTTTTGTCGGGGGTTAACGGCATAGTCATCGACAAGACATTCATTGGCCAGCTAAAGTTGTCTCGTCCAAGACTCCAAGTTATCCATGCAATGCAAATAATTTCTGGAAATTGAGTTTCGTTTTTCACAAAGCTACTGTTCAAATAATTGGTAACATTACAATTTACAAATCTGGAAGAACATTAAACCTCGAATTTGCAAGGCAATTTCTATGTAGAACAAGACGATTTCTATTAAAGCTAACAAAGCCATGTATAAATGTATCTTCTGCATCAATGGCAGGCCTGTCCATGTTCTTTTTAGCTACCCAATTGCTTGGATAGGCTTAATCTCAACCTTTTTCCAACAGCTATTCCACGAATCCCATCAAATGGCGGGAGATCAGTGCAACACGCAATTTCAGTTTTGATCAGAGATAATAACGGGCTTATCGGTATGTGCATATTGGAGTTGGGATCACCTGCAATCAGAACACATTAACACCCTCCCAAGTTAATGACACCACACATTTCATACATGATGGCTCTCTTTTATTGTTACGAGTAAAGATGTAAATTGGGTTGTGCTGCCTGCAGCTTGATATGGCCTGTCATGATTTTGGACTCACTTGGCATAATGGCACACAGGCCGTGTCAAGTACAGTACTATCGTGTGGGTCGTGCTGTGTTAGGGGTTTTAGGTCCATGGGTCGATATGACACAACATGACTATGCATGCCATGCTGCTCGTGGCCCACATGCCGGGATGGAGCACAGCATAGCCCATGGGCCCGTAGTGGGCTGAGTGTGGCCTGCCCGATCCTCAACGGTTAGTTTCAGTTTTTTGGAGGGGTTTTTTACAAAAATACTCCCAATAGCTATAAACAGCTATACAAGGGGTATTTATGTATTTTGGCTTTGAGGGGGGAAAGAATGACAAAAATGCCTCCCAATAGCTATATAACAATTAATTTGGAAGGCATTTTGGATAAAATGATAAATGACTTTACAATGACTAAAGTACCCCTCCCAAAAAACTAAAAAATTATTAGTTTTTAGGGTATTTTGTGCAATTAAATTATTTTCAATTCCTATAAATAACTCCACTATGCACCATTCTCATCACACTAATTCAGCAATTCTCTTCTCATATTCTCTAAAGCTTTATGCTCTCACTCTCAAATCTCAATACCCTCTCTCTCTACTATCCAATTCTCAACTCTCAAGTCTTGACTTTTTTCAAGTTTCAACAAGAAGGCGGCTTGCTCTAATATCTCTAGTTAGCAATTTGGGAGGTTTGGACTTAGAGGCTTTAACTATTGAAATCAAACTAAGATTTTGAACTAGCAAACTAGGTGAGTACAATTAAATTAATTTTTATTTTTTTAGAATTAAAAAAATGGCAAACTCCTCCCAAAACCAATTCCCCAACATGTTCAATGCCGATGATGTTCAGTCGCAACATGATAGCATTAGCATTGATATAGATGCTACTAACACTGTTGGAAATCCCACCCTTAGTACTACTATTGAGACTATGAGAAAGTAAAAAAAAGGAACTAAATTGACTAACCAAGTTTGAAAATTATTTAAAATAGAGGACGTTGAGGGGAAGGAAAAAAGGGTCGTTTGCCAAAAATGTAGAAGTGACTTTAGGTATTATAAAAAGAGTGGTACTGGCCACTTGGGTAGACATTTGCTCACACATGAAAAACAAGAACAAGAAGGAAAAGAAAAAGAAAAAGAATAAATCACAAACACAAATTGGGTGTAGGGGTTTTGGAACTTTTAAATATTGACAAAAAATAGGCAAGACTTCAAAAAATATATTATACATGCTGAACAACCATTTTTATTAATTGAGGATATTAAACTTGAAAAATTTTTACATAATTCTGTAAATCCTCAATTTAAAAAAGTTTCTAAAATTACTATTAGAGCATATGCTTTGAAATTTTTTTATTCATATAAACAAAATTTAATTTATATTTTATCAAATCTTAATTCTAGAGTTGCAATTACTATTGATATTTGAACTTTTTAATACAAGTTATATTTGTGTTATCGATCATTTTATTGATGAAAACTAGTTTTTACAAAAAAGAATTTTAAGTTTTATTAGGCTTAAATGGCCATGACCACATATTGGCCCAACTATTGTTGTAAGTATTTTAAATACTTTACATGCTTATGGAATTGACAATAAACTTTTTTTCTATTAGTTTTGATAATGTCAATAATAAAGATTCAACGATAAATATTTTAAAATCTCAATTAAAATCATGTTTAAATGGTAAATTATTTCATATTAGATGTGCATGTCACATCTTAAATTTATGTATTCAAAATATTTTAAATATTATTTCTCATCATATTTCTAAAATTAAAAATTGTATTATATATATATATATATATATATTAAAAGTTCAAGATCAAAAAAACAAGAATTTAAATATTTATGTCATAATTATCGTTTGAAGTATAAAAATTGTATGTTAGATGTTCAACATAAATGAAATTCTACCTATTTTATGTTAGAAAGTTGTATTTTCTACAAACAAATTCTTACTGATTTTTATAATACAAAAACACCACATGATATTATACTTGAGGAAGAATGTGAAATGACAATTTGTATAAAAGATTTTTTACACAATTTTTATGAAACAACTATTGAATTTTCAGGTGTCTATTACCTAACTAGTTGTCTTTTAGTTAATCAATTATTTATGATTAGTGAATGTTTTGCAAAATATAGAATAAATCCAGAATTTAAACATATAGTTGAAGTAATGGAAAATAAATTTAAAAAATATTGTGAGAACATTTCTCCTATTTAGCTGCACTATTAGACCCTAGGATTAAGAAAGACTGTTTAGATATTTTACTTGATTCATATTGTGAAAATATGAATATTGAAATTAGAAATTAAAAAGAAAAAAACTAATGATTTATTATTTAAAATGTATGATTGATATGAATCTCAAATGATAGGGCATAAAAAATTTGCAACTTGTATAGGTGCAACTTTCACTTCTAATATAACTAGTTCCAGTAGTGGAAAAGACAGAGTTCGGTCTCTATTAAGTATGAGGCAGAAATCTACTACCACCTCATCAACAAGTTCATTTATTAAACTTAATTTTTATTTACAAGCAAATTTTTCTCCTATAAGTGATTCCTTCGACTCGGAAGGAATGGATAATTTTGATATTTTAGCTCGATGGAATGGGCATGAAAAAAATTATTCGATCGTTGTTGCTAATGGCACATGTCTACTAACCCTTCCGATGTCAACAATTACATCGTTGTTTTGTTTTAGTGCAAGTATTATGGTGTTAGATAACAAGAGAAACTACATGAATGATAAAAGTCTGGAGATGTACATCTGCTTCAAAGATTGGCTGGATGTTAAGGATAGATTACAAGACAAAGGAGGGCATGACACTATACATGATGATTCACCTGAAGCAAATTATCAAAATCAAGATGGAGATGGAGGTGAAACTTGAAGAAAAATGATGAAGGCAATATTTATAATCAATAATTTTGTAACATTTTTAAAATTATTGTAAATTTTGTTATTCAATTTTATTTACATTATTTGTTATTTTTTTCAATAAGGTAATTTTTTATTTTCAACTTGTAATTGTATTATATTTTTTATATTTTACTCCATTTTGTTATGTATTTTTTTACCATTGTGGCATTATATTGTTCAAGTTTTAAATTTAAATGAAATAAAATTTCAATTTTTCTTCCAATTTGTTGTCCATTTTGTATTTTATTAAGTATTTTTTCATTTCTTTGTTAGAAGTTTTATTTTTTCAATTTGTTCCCCAAAGAAAGATAAGTATTTTAGTTTTATTTAACAAAAAAGTTAAAAAAAATCAAAATGTCAAAAAAAAGTCTTAGCGATCTGGCCCAGTTCAGCCTAGGATCGTAGCCCAACCTAGGCCCATAGCATGGCTTGCAACCCACTCAACCCAGAACCACAACCCGATACAGCACAAATCAGTCCCACACGGGCTCGGGCCATGGACCGTGAGCCATGTCGGGCCAACCCCCAACATATTCCAGGGGAGGGAAGCACAGCCAGGCTTGGCACAATCCGCTCTTTGTGCAAGTTGAAGCCCAGCACAGCACGGTTTACACCTTTAGTTGTGAGTTGAGATCTTCTGCCAACAAAAAACACGTTCCAACCCCCTAACACCACACATCTCACCATGATACTGGAACCCATCATAAAAGTGGGAGTGTGGGACCCACCACACTTGGATGGTCAAACAAAAGAGTACACCCAATAACGTGGATCAATGGAAACCGGTAAAGAGATGGAAATGGACAGCACCATTTAATTCACTGGAAATCTTAGCCTGTCAAAACACCCCATAAAGCTAAAAGGAAATTAACACTCATCTACTATAACAACTCATGATACACCCTCTCTGGTAAGCATGCGAACAAGCCCATAGTTAGATTTGCCCATTTCTTACATACATATCAGAATTCAGAACTCATAAAATACAACTTCCTCCCATCTCGTCCCACTTACATATCCATCTAATTAAGCCTAACCAGGATCC